TTCTATTCTATTCTATTCTATTCTATTCTATTCTATTCTATTCTATTAACATATCTCATCTGCCCCACAGGTTAGGTGAACAAAAGTAAAACAAAAGTACTACATGGAGTGTCTGAATCAAACAGCCCCAAATGAATTTATCCTCTCTGGGTTTCCTTGTACAGAAGACTTAAAGGTCCCCTTGATTCTCTTCTTCTCCACTATGTTTGCACTCACCATTTCTGGGAATTCTATGATCATCTTGGTGGTGATCTTTGACCTTCAACTGCACAAGCCCATGTACTGGTTCCTCTGCCATCTCTCCATCCTGGACATGGTCTTCTCAGCTGTGGTGGTCCCCAAAGTGATTGCAGGGTTCAGTTCCAGAGGGAAAATCATTTCTTTTCCTGGATGCGTGACAGAGGTCTTCTTTTTTAACTCTGTCGGGTGTGCAGAATGTTTTCTTTACACCTTGATGGGTTACGACCGCTTCTTGGCCATTTGTAAACCCCTCCACTATGGCAACCTCATGAGCTGGAAAACCTGTCTCACCCTCTCCTTGGGTACCATAATTGGAGGCAGCCTCAATTCTGCATTTCAGACCTCGATCACTTTTCATGCGCCTTACGGAGAGGATAATTACATTGACTATGTCTTCTGTGACATTCCATCCATCCTTAAGCTGGCGTGCGTGGACATAAAACTCAACGCATTGATGTTCATTGTTGACATCAACTTCATAACGATGACCTGCTTTCTCCTCATCCTAGCCTCTTACGCTTACATCATCACAGCCATTTTGAAGATCACTAGCAGTGAAGGTCAACGCAGAGCCTTCTCCACTTGCACTGCCCATCTTACGGTGGTGTGCATTTATTTCCTGCCTGTGTTTTATCATTATATGAGGCCATCTTCTCAGGACTCCATGGATAGTGTGGTAAGCATGTTCTACACCACCATCACTCCTTTGTTGAACCCATTGATATATACGCTTAGGAACAAGGAGATGAAAAGGGCTCTGCTGAAATTCTGGGTTGGTAATCCAGAGTAGGCAACAGGAAGTATACCCAAGACATTTTAAAACTTTTTTTTAAAAAAAAAAAAGAAATATGGTGAATAGTCAAATTGACGACATCATTTCCAGACGGAATTCAGATGTAGTTTAGTTTAGTTTAGTTTAGTTTAGTTTAGTTTAGTTTAGTGTCACTGCACCTTGCTCAATGAAATTAAATGCTATCTTCAGTGTACATTATACATGTAAAAACACACATCCTTCACATTCTGTACACTGGGTACACTGGGTATACTGCAGGGGTGAAATCCAGCAGGTTCAGACAGGTTCTGGAGAACCGGTAGTGGAAATTTTGAGTAGTTTGGAGAACCAGCAAGTACCACCTCTGGCTGGTCCCAGAGTGGGGTGGAAATGGAGATTTTGCAGTATCCTTCCCCTGCCACACCCACCAAGCCATGCCCACAGAACCGGTAGTAAAAAAAATTGAATTTCACCACTGGTACACTGGGTACACTGGGTATGTCTAGTTTGATGAAAAGAAGAACTAGGGAGACATGATATCTCAGGGGCTACCACAAAGAAGAGGGAGTCAAGCTATTCTCCAAAGCACCTGAGGGCAGGACAAGGAGCAATGGATGGAAACTAATCAAGGAGAGAAGCAACTTAGAACTAAGGAGAAATTTCCTGACAGTTAGAATAATTAATCAGTGGAACAACTTGCCTCCAGAAGTTGTGGATGCTCCAACACTGGAAGTTTTTAAGAAGATGTTGGATAACCATTTGTCTGAAGTGGTGTAGGGTTTCCTGCCTAGCAGGGGGTTGGATTAAAAGACCTCCAAGGTCCCTTCCAACTCCTATTCTATTCTATTCTATTCTATTCTATTCTATTCCTATTCTATTCTATTCTATTCTATTCTATTCTATTCTATTCTATTCTATTCTATTCCATTCCATTCCATTCCATTCCATTCCATTCCATTCCATACCATACCATACCAACCATACCATACCATACCATACCATACCATACCATACCATACCATACTATACTATACTATACTATACTATACAATTGAATTGAAAACCCCTGACATTGCATTAATATTGCACTATACAGTAGAATTCAGTATAGTTTCTGATCTGGGATAGAAGCTGTTTTCAGCCTATTTTTATTGTCCTATACCGACTGCCAGATGGTAATAGTTCAAAAAAATGAGATGGATCTTGAAGAATGTTTTGAACTTTCTTAAGGCAGCGGGAGCTATAAAGCTCTTCCAAAGTGGGGAGAGGGCAACCAGTGATCCTCTGGGCAATGACGTTGATTCTCTGGAGCGCTGTCCTATCTGCCACTGTGCAATTGGCAAACCATACACAGTAAGTTAAAATAAGACAGAGTCTTATTTTCGGGGAGACAAGGTAGCCTCAGGTACCCCTGCTCTCTTGGACAAAAAAGACTAGGAATTCCAGCAAATTATACTCTTCATGATGTCTCTTTAGAACATTGGCGTCAAACTCGATTTTATTGAGGGCCACATCAGGGTTGTGTTTGACTTCGGAGGCCGGGGGGTGACCAGGGTGGGTGTGGCCAGCTTGATAGACATCACTCGTTGAGGCTCAGTTTTCAGCCACAATGGCTTCCTGCAGCCCTCTTCCAGCAAAAATGAACCCCCCCCCCCATTTTCACTGGCAGAGGGCTGCAGGAGGCCATTGCAGCCAAAAATGGAGCCTGGGAGGGCCACATGTGGCCCTCTCGAGCTCTGTTTTTGCTGACAGAGGCACTGCGGGCTGGTCCTTCACTGTTTCCAGGGTGGTCCCACAGGCCAGTTCTAAGCAGCCCGTGGGCCAGATCTGGCCCGCAGGCCTTGAGTTTGACACCTCTGCTTTAGAAGATGTCATATTTGCTTGCTGTATTTCCATTGCCTCCAACAAGACCAATTTGTGAAGAGATCTCAATGGAGGCATGTACTGTAGGGAAAAACAATGAGAGAAAGAAAAGTAAATTATCTAGCAACTATTTTAATGGAGAGTTTATACATGACTGTATGTTTTAAAAGTGTATTTCATATCTTTTCTGAATGTATTGGCATGTGCTTTTCCCATGATGCACAAAATTTTTTGATGTTGTAATTTAAATAAACATTGTTGTTTCCTGACTTTATTCACTAAACTTGAGAAATGTAACATTCTATTATTAGTGTGTGGCATTGTTACAGTAGCCAGAAGACCACAGTAGTTTGGTTTGCTAAGGTTCCAGCTCTGTTATAAGACACGCTTGCATGCTTCCCAAGATATGTCAGAGGGGGATGAGCTGGCTTCACGCCAAAGAGAAAGATGAGCAGCATTTCCTGCAGTGTGACCCAAAGTTCCCTCTCCTCCTGGAGTTGCCTTACAAATGGATATCGCAACCAGGAAGGTTCATATCAGTCAGGAATCTGACTGCCTGCACAGAGCACCAACTCATCTCCCCACCGAAGTGGTACCTATCTCTCTACTTGCATAGAATATGCTTTTGAACTGTTAGGTGGACAGAAGCTGAGGCAAGTGACAGGAACTCACCTCAACACATAATGCTAGAACTCAAAACGCTAGAGCACAAATCATATCCAGCATCATTAAGCCACTGAGCCACCCCACCTCATTCTAAAGTTAGATTTGCAGATAATAATAAGTAATAGATTTGCTGTATAAATGCAGCAGAGACAATAATTATGAAACCTTTTTCATTTACAAGAATATTCTTGCAATGAAGCTTACACTTTCCAGAAAAGCAAAGACATGGTAAAATACTGCTGCTTTCTCTTGTGCTCTTGCCAAGTTCAGAGGTGGAATTCAGCCGGTTCAGACCAGTTTGAGCAAACCGGTAGCAGAATTTTGAGTAGTTTGGGGAACTGGCAAATACCACCTCTGGTTGGCCTCACCCTCCTGCCGTTCCCTGTTCTATATTCCCTTGTTTTTTAGCTCAGCTGATTCGCGCAGCAGAGCAATTATCATGCCTCAGCTGAGCTAGACAACAGCTCAGTTCATCAGCGCTGACACCAAGGGTGGTCTTTGAGTGCTGTGCACAAAGCACACTCTCATAGAATGGTAGGAAAAGATTGGAATCCCACTACTGGCCAAGATCTATGGAGATCTGTGTGCAATGTCTCCTATAGTAGGTTACTGAATTTCAGGAGGACACTTGCCCTAAACAGCAAGGAATATGAGAATCATTTTTCCAGATGGCTTTTACTTGAAAAACAATATCTTCCTGAGTGTCAGCCGGATCTCCAGCATGGGTTTTTACTTTGGTGCCCTTGCTATTGGCTGCCATAGTAACAGGGAGGGGATGTCAGAGTATATTCATCAACTGGAATAGAACATGGTAACAAGGTCAGCCAATGTATATGCATAGCAACTAAGTCAGCCAATGGGAGCTGAGACAGACTGGAGCCAGGACGTGTCTTAGTCTGCAGCTTCTGAGTCTGTGCAGAGAAACTGAAACTATTCTGCTCTGCTGAAATGAAATTAACTGTTCTCTCATGCCTTGTGTTTTGCTTGTAATTGCTACTACATTGAAGAAGAATCTATATTGGTATTGTACATTTATCTTCATATATTATATGTATATAAAGAAGTTAATGAATCCTGCTGAATCTGTTTACCTGTGTGTGCTTTCTGGATTTGATTTCTACTGCAAACTCTGATAGGGGGCATGGCATTATTTGGTTTGGGAAGTGAGCTGATGAGGTGAAGGCCCATGTGAACTAAAAGGAAGATTTTAGTTAAAAAGCTCTCAAGAATTACTACACTGCTGAGTGGAGTTGTTTACATCCAGTCAAGGCCAACCATCCTAGAACTCCAGATGGACGAAAATACCTGAAGATGTGCTTCACGTGACATGGCCTGGCCTAAATCTTCTCCCTTTTAAAATTTTTAAATTTAAATTTTAAACACTAATTTTAATTTGTTTAATTATGGGATATTTTTAAAATTGAGCCAAATTGTTTAATCTGTTTTAATCTATTTTAAATTTTGTATTCCTGTGTTTTATCTTTTGGCTGTTCACCGCCCTGAGTCCTTCGGGAGAAGGGCAGTATAGAAATCTAATAAAATAAATAAATAATAAAATAAAATATGAGTGACGTGGATTGAATATTCGGCCTGGGTCCTTGGGGGGAGGGATTTGGGGAAACTTTCAAACTGTAACTTTTGCACCTTTTGAATCAGATCTTGCCTTGCTTTCGCTGCTATCATTTCAAACTCAGTAAAAGTACCTCTTCTCTACCTCAGTGGAGTTGAGGGTTTTCTTTCTTGGGTTTTGAACAGAGGAAAGCCTGACATCAAGTTTATCATGTCTTCTCTATTCTGAGTGTCTCTTAGTTGACTTCAGTTAGCTCCTTTTGTCTAATTCAATCCTGAATTCTCAACTTTATCACATATGTCTTGTATTCCAATGATGAGATCTTCTTAATATCTCTTCTAACCATTGCATTAACTCTTTAATCTCTCTAGATTGAGAGCAAAGTCTAAAGTCCAGCTGAAATGCTTACGGGATTTCCTCTTCACTGATGATGATGCCGTCACTGCTCACTCTGCTGAAGACCTTCAACAACTTATGGACAGTTTTAGCAAGGCCTGCCAAGACTTTGGAATAACAATCAGTCTGAAAAAACACAAGTCATGGGTCAGGATGTGGATTCACCTCCCTGTATTACAATCTCTGCACAAGAACTGGAGGTCGTCCATGACTTTGTGTACCTCACCTCAACTATCTCTGACACTCTCTCTTTAGATACTGAGCTGAATAAACGTGTTGGTAAAGCAGCCACCACATTTTCCAGACTTACAAAAAGAGTATGGCTTAATAAGAAGCTGATGGAACATACAAAGATCCAGGCCTATAGAGCCTGTGTGCTGAGCACACTCTTGTACTGCAGTGAGTCTTGGACTTTTTACTCACGGCAGGAGAGAAAGTTGAATACCTTTCATATGCGCTGTCTCCGATGTATTCTTGGTATCACCTGGCAGGACAAAGTTCCAAATAGGGCAGTCTTGGAACATGCTGGAATTTCTAGCATGTATACACTATTGAAACAGCGACATCTACGCTGGCTGGGGCATGTCATGAGAATGGCTGATGGTCAGATTCCGAAAGATCTCCTGTATGGAGAATTAGTGCAGGGAAAGTGCCTCAGAGGGAGACCACAGCTGCGATATAAGGATATCTGCAAGAGGGACCTAAAAAGTGAATGGACATTAACAACTGGGAAACCTCGACCTCCGATTGTTCAGCTTGGAGGCTAAAGACGCAGCATGGCCTTCTCCAATTCGAAGAGACACTTGTTCAGCAGGCTGAGGCAAAGAGGCAGTCCTGGAACCAGCGAAATCTGGGGGCTGGGCAGGGGACAGAATATATCTGCCCTCCGTGTGGAAGGGATTGCCACTCTCGAAGTGGCCCTTTTAGTCACACTAGATACTGTTTTAGGACCTTTTTCCAGAGGACGATACCATAGTCTTTTGAGACTGAAGAATGCCAATGATGATTTGATGACAAAATTTTATAGCTTTTGAGCATTCCCACCACATGTGGTAAAAAGTCCCTGGCACTCTTGCCTTGCTTTTTTAAGTTCCAACTTTCACAACCAAATGTAGCTATGAGGAGCGAATTAACCTACATTAGTTCAGATTCATAGCAAGGGAATACTTCTTTGGATATAGTGAACGATGTATTTTGCTGAGATTTTTGTGCAAATCATGACAAATAGAGGTGCTTACCACTTCCCCCCCTTTTTTTTTGCAACTATAAATGCATACAAAATCCATTTTCCTTGTCCTTTTCTTCCATTAGAACCATAGTTAAAAACAACAACAGGGTATCTTCCAAAGCAAAATTAACATAGAATCATAGAAGCAAATGAAAAGCAATATGTAATCAAAAGGGAAGTATTATTTTACAAGAGCAGATCATATATAGTAGGGGGTGCATTTTTAGTCTTAACTGAATCCCTCCATTTCTTGCTAAAAACATGCATCATATCCAGAACAGATGCAAATTGTCATGAAATGATAATGTTTGTTTGATGGCTAGTGATGATCCATGACTAGAGTAGTAAATCTAGATTAGTGTAACAGAAGTGTAAGAATAAATCAGGAAAGAGACAAGATGGATCATGGATTTTAAAATGAGAACAACCTTATGATTAATTAAAGGAAAAACAGACATTCAAGCTATGCATTTTAGAGAAGAAAAAAAGATAATCCAAATAATAAGACGGAAAAATGACTTGAGCAGTCAGCTCTGGAATAAAATAACCATTCTCAATTAATTCCCATTGGAAACATTAGGATCTTAACTCATGGCTGATTGATCTTTTTCATGATTATGTGTGCAAACTTTCAAACTCACCTATTATGTGAAAGTAATTGTTTCCCCAGGGGAGTTTCTGGGCAGATTTAATTGCCTTTCTCCTAAATCAACCATATTTGAAAATAACGTTTACCAACTCTAGGGAATAAAGGCAGAACGTTCACTGAATAACTACAATGTTATAAAAAGATGTGGAAACGAAAGAGTGTAACTGCTCCTATCTGGAGATACAAAGACGTACGATTCATAGCAGTGTTCCAATATTTGAGGGACTGCCACAAAGAAGAGAGGGTCAACCTGTTCTCCAAAGCACCTGAAGGCAAGACAAGAAAGAATGGATGGAGACTAATCAAGGAGAGGACCAACCTGGAACTAAGGAGAAATTTCCTGTCAGTGAAACAATTAACCATTAGAACATCTTGCCTCCAGAAGCTGTGGGTACTCCAACACTGGAAGTTTTTAAGAAGAGATTGGACAGGTATTTGTCTGACCTGGTATACGGTTTCCTGCCTGAGCAGGAGGTTGGACTAGAAGACCTCCAAAGTCCCTTCCAACTCCGTTATTCTGTTATTCTGACTCTGTCTAATTTTTCACTTCACATCCAGAGTTCATATTGAGCAGGAGTTCGTAAGATCTTCAGCACAGAAATCCAAATACCTCTAGATGTATTTCACAATAATGTATTGACTATTTTTAAAAAACTTGAAATTACATTTGCTGGGGATTTTGCAATTAATTAAGCCAGCTGAAGTTTAGAAACAGAAAGTCTGAGATCTTCCTCTCCATGCTCAGTTTAGGATTCCTCTTGGAGAAACTAAAAATACATTGCTTTTCCATCAAGAGACAATTCATCTGTTTCCCATGAAGTGCTCAGTGAGTCTTCTGAACAGAAAGAGAATGAAAAGTTACAAGGTTACAAGTTAACAAGCAAATCATTCAGAGGTAGTATTCAGCTGGTTCAGACCGGTTCAAGTGAACCAGTAGGGCCGATGATCAGTTCATCTCACCCACCCGCCCCCGCTCTATCCTGTCCTTTATTTCCTGCTTTGTAGCTCATCTCAATCGTGCGGCACAGCTGATATTTCTCCCCGTCGCTGAGCTACTTACCGTTGCTGACTTGGAAGGTAAGCAGCTGAGCTTCTAAATGCTCCATTTTCAGCGCTTCATGCAAGTGCCTTAGGCTCACACACGTGCAAAGTGCACACTCACTGAACCAGTTGTTAAACCGGCAGCATTCCACCACTGAAATCATTCAAAGACTCCGTCAGGATTTTCCACCTCTTCTTCCAGGAACAGCATTAAGAAATATTCACATTTCTACCCTTCCAGTCAATTTCACACCAGCAAACTTAGCATGTTGGGGTGGGATGGGGGAGAGAAATGAATTAAATCATGCCTTCCCTGAGATTTTATTTATTTTTTAATTTATCAGATCGTTAAGCCACAGAGGGATTCTGGATGTCGTATATTGTACAATGTTGGAATAGATCTGTGAAGTGGCAAATGATGCCAAACAAAATCTATGTGCAATGCTATTTTCCATGCTGTGTGATGATTGACGAGTCTTCGGGAATTTCAACATAGTTAGTAAAAAGTATATTAAAGGTAAAGGTAAAGGTTCCCCCGCACGTGTGTGCTAGTCGATTCTGGCTCTAGGGGCTGTGCTCATCTCCATTTCAAAGCCGAAGAGCCAGTGTAAAAAAAAAAAAGTACTACATGGAGTGCCCAAATCAATCATCCCCAAATGAATTCATCCTCTCCGGGTTTCCTTGTACAGAAGACTTGAAGGTCCCCTTGATTCTCTTCTTCTCCGTCATTTTTGCACTCACTCTTTGTGGAAATTCTCTGATCATCTTGGCGGTGATCACCAACCTTCACTTGCACAAGCCCATGTACTGGTTCCTCTGTCACCTCTCCATCCTGGACATGGCCTTCTCAGCTGTTGTGGTCCCCAAAGTGACTGCAGGATTCATCCAGCCGAAAAATATCATTTCCTTCTCCGGGTGCGTCTCACAGGTATTCTTTTTGAACTCGGTTGGGTGTACAGAGTGTTTTCTTTACACCGTGATGGCTTATGACCGCTTCTTGGCCATTTGTAAACCACTCCACTATGGCAACCTCATGAGCTCAAAAGCCTGTCTCCTTCTCTCCTTGGGTACCATAATTGGAGGGACCCTCCACTCTGCCTTTCAGACCTCTCTTACCTTTCATTTGCCTTACGGAGAGCACAACAATATTGACTATATCTTCTGTGATATTCCGTCCATCCTGAAGCTGGCTTGCATTGAGATACAATTGATAGAAATGGTTATCATCATCGACATGGGCTTTGTGACAATCACCTGCTTTCTCCTCATCCTAGCATCTTACACTTACATCATTACCGCCATTTTGAAGATCAGTAGCCATGAAGGACGACACAGAGCCTTCTCCACTTGCTCTGCCCATCTCACTGTGGTGGTCATATACTACCTGCCCTTGTTTTCTCGTTATTTGAGACCGGCTTCTCGGGACATCCTGGAGAGTGTGGTATGTGTATTCTACACCACCATCACTCCTCTGTTGAACCCCATAATATACACCCTTAGGAACAAAGAGATGAAAACTGCTCTGGTGAAACTCTGGGGTAGGAATCCCGAGTAGATTGCAACAGGTGTGTACACCATATATTTTTCGTCAAGTTTAGATGACCAGATGTGAATTCTAATTTACTTTACTGTATGGATGTGCAAGTGAGAATAGGAAGACAGTTCAGAACTACAGTATCTATTAACTTTTTTGTAGCTCAGCCATGATTATTGGAATGGATCAGAGGTGGGTTTCAGCAGGTTCTGACCAGTTCTGGAGAACCGGTAGTGAATATTTTGAGTAGTTTGGAGAACCGGTAGTAAAAGTTGTGACTGGCCCCGCCCCCATCTATTCTCTGCCTCCCAAGTCCCAGCTGATCGGGAGGGAATGGAGATTTTACAGTATCCTTCCCCTGCCATGCCCACCAGGCCACACCAACAGAACCGGTAGTAAAAAATTTGGAAACCCACCACTGGAGTGGATACATGGGAAAAGAATAAAATGGAATGGAGTGGAGTGGAGTGGAGTGGAGTGGAGTGGAGTGGAAGGGAAGGGAGGAGAGGAGAGGAGAGGAGAGGAGAGGAGAGGAGAGGAGAGGAGAAGAGAAGAGAAGAGAAGAGAAGAGAAGAGAAGAGAAGAGAAGAGAAGAGAAGAGAAGAGAAGAGAAGAGTTGGAAGGGACTTTGGAGGTCTTCTAGTCCAACCCCCTGCTCAGGCAGGAAATCTGTACCATTTCTTTATATAATTTTTAAACTTCGGTTTAGTTTTTCTCTTGCATATCTGTGTGCATTTCTACTTATTTTCTTATGGTTGTCTCAATCAGATGTAGACTAAAATACATTCACTTTGGAATAAAATTTACTCTTCTATTATTCTTTTATTGTTTAAAAGGGAACTGTAACAGAGGATATTGTTAATTTTGGAAATATTATACACCATTCCTTTTCAGTAAAAGCTGCAGAAATATTGAAACAGCATTATCTTTGTTTGATAGTTTTGTAGATTATGCCAATATTTTCCTGAGATTCCAAAATATGTTCAAACACTGCCTATTCGCATTGTGTTCTGATTGTGTCATGCTGAGGTCTCTGTTCATCTAACTTCCTAAGCTTTTGGAGAGAAAATGTACTAAGATGACTTCCTGATCATCTTCATTTAAGGAACAGAGTCCTTCTGAACCAATGGGATGGCCCACATCTTTATTGACTTGTTGATTCTGGCTTTTGACTCATCCAAACTGCATGGATTCACCGTCAATCTTATTTGGTCCTGATTTCTAAGTTGCATCCTAGAGGTGGCGCAGTGGTTAGAATCAGAGGTGGTATTCAGCAGGTTCTGACCAGTTCTGGAGAACCGGTAGCGGAAATTTTGAGTAATTTGGAGAACCGGTAAAACCACCTTGGACTGGCCTTGCCCCCATCTATTCTCTGCCTCCCGAGTCCCAGCTGATCGGGAGGAAATTGGGATTTTGCAGTAACCTTCCCCTGAAGCGGAGTGGGAATGGAGATTTTACAGTATCCTTCCCCTGCCATGCCCAACAAATCACACCCACCAAGCCATGCCATGCCTACCAAGCCATGCCCACAGAACTGGTAGTAAAAAAATTTGAATCCCATCACTGGTTAGAATACGGTATTGCAGGCTAACTCTGTTCACAGTCTAGAGTTCGATCCAGTGGTGGGATTCAACTCATTCACACCGGTTCAGGCAAACCGGTTGTTAAATTACCCCCGCCCCCTCCATGCTATCAAAGTGGATCCTGGGAGCTGCAATGGAGAAACAAGTAATGGAGCGGCCGGCGTGAGAAAAGGAGAAGGCTGCTTTCCCTCTTTCTTCTCCCTGCTCTTCCTCCTTCCCTCGTGCTGGCCACTCCATTTCCCATTTCTCCACTGCAGTGCAGCAGCCAGGATCCAGTTTGATAGCGGGAGGGGTACTTTAACAACCGGTTTGCCCAGGGTCAGGTTGGCCATTGCAAGAGGCTCATCTGACATGTGTGTTGGAGCTGGAGGATGGGGACGGGTTGTTGTGGCTCCATCATCTGAGCCTGTGTCATTGGCAGGAGAGGACTCCGAGAGTGAAGGAGAGGAGTTGGCAAGGCCTCCCTCTCCAGGACCCTCCTCTCTGGCAATGCCTTCGGTGTCCGCCGAAGGGCAAGAGATAGGGCCGGGGCCAAGCACATCCACACATGGACAGTAATGAGGGTAATGAGTCTTGGCTGGATCCACACCAGCGTCGCAGAGATAAGCACGCACAACAGAAGAAAAGGCATGCCCGAGATTAGGCTGAGTCACTGGACCACACCCCACAGGATATAAAAGGGAGCGTGGTGGCCAGTCAAACCTTGTGACGAACAAAGCTGAAAGCTTCCACGCCATTCTGCATTGCTGGACTTTTGGCTATAGACTTTGCTGGATTATCTCTGGACTTGATTGACTCCGTAATTATTGAGCTGTTTCTTTTGATGTATCAGAAGTGAGGAGAAGTTATCTCTCCTCTTTGTAAATAATAAACTCTTGGCAGGCAGCTACTAGGTTGTTGCCAAGTTCCGTTATCATAAGGAAAAGGATTTTGCCGGCTGGTTTGGTCTTTAACTCTTGAACATCTGTTGGTATGTGTGTGTGTGGTTGGGGACAGAACATGGGTCACATCTCCCATGACAGCCAACCTGACCCCGAGAGAACCGGTTGTTAAATTATTTGAATCCCACCACTGGTTCAATCCTGATGGGCTCAAGGTTGACTCAGCCTTCCATCCTTCCGAGGTCGATAAAATGAGGATCCAGATTATTGGGGGGCAATGTGTTGACTCTGTAAACCGGTTAGAGAGGGCTGTAAAGCATTATGAAGTAGTATAATACCTATTGCTATTAATATGGATCATTTCAGTATCTTATACCTTGTATAACCAGTGGTGGGTTGCTACCGGTTCATCCCGGATCAGGCAAACTGGTAGCGGTGGGAGGCTCCACCCACCTGCCTGGACATCTCTGCGCATGCGCAGAAGCATTGTGCACGCCCGCACCTGCCCATGAGCAAACTGGTAGCGAACAAAATTGAAAAACACTACTGCGTATAACCTTGGCATTTAAATTACATTCCCTGATCTATGATAGTTTAGATGGAGGAATAGATACACACTCATATAATATTGTGATTTTTTTTCCCCTAATGAAAGTATATTGGATATTTTTCCAACAACTCCAGTATAGTCACCCTCGTGGTTGTTTCAAAAGAATTGGCTTCATGTCGGCTGCAGATAATTTGTAATGTCTGAGAACATAAACATTCTTTTTATTAAGAAAATGGAAATCCAAGTCGTATCATTGTCGTCGAGTTTAAGTTAGAAGCATTTGTTTCTAACAAAGTAAATAAAATAAAAGCGCTAACATTAAGAACTCCAAGGCTTTATATTGGTTCCTTTCACTCATGACAGAAAAGAATAGAATAACAGCGTTGGAAGGGACCTTGGAGGTCTTCTAGTCCAATCCCCTGCTTAGGCAGGAAACCCTACACCACTTCAGACAAATGGGTATCCAACATCTTCTTAAAAACTTCCAGTGTTGGAGCATTCACAACTTCTGGAGGTAAGTTGTTCCACTGATTAATTGTTCTCACTGTTAGGAAATTTCATCTTAGTTCTAAATTGCTTCTTTCATTGATGAGACACTGTTTTTTATATATATAACCCAGCATTGGAAATAAGAATATGTAGAACATTAATGAGGTGTAGGATATTTGTAGAAAATCAAAGGGAAGCATTGAGTATATATTCTGGAAGGAATTTCCAGAATGCTAGAAGGATCAAAGAAATAAAAGCAATCAGTTTTGGGAAGAATTGGGAAGCTCTTGACCTGATAATAGAATAGCAGAGATGGAAGGGACTTTGGAGGTCTTCAAGTCCAACCCCCTGCTCAGGAAGGAAACCCTATATCATTTCAGACAAACGGCTGTCCAATCTCTTTTTAAGAACTTCCAGTGTTGGAGCATCCACAACTTCTGGAGGCAAGTTGTTCCACTGGTTAATTGTTCTGGCAAAAAACTTTACCTTAGTTCTAGGTTGGTTCTCTCCTTGATTAGTTTCCATCTATTGCTTCTTGTTCTGCTTTCAGGGGCCATTGCACATGCACATGACAGAAACCTGAAAGTTAAGGTGCCGGCGCATGCATGCACACCGTAACACTGCTCTTCCAGGTTTCGGAGGTTCCCACGTGTGCGAAGATCATCTGACAGGCGCACGTGTGTGCACAGGAATGCAGAAGAGGAGCTAGTGAGGCCACGCGTCCCACACGGGATGGCTCTGCATGCCGCTTCCGGCATGTGTTCTATAGGTTCGCCGACACGTCACTAGGGTATGAACGGATTTCCAGAAAAATTGCAGACTAGAGAAACCATTTGCACCACTCAGGTGACCCTGAGGACACAGATAAACCTCCAGGTGGCCTAAACGACTCTCTAAAAGGATGCAAACGACCAGCTAAAATCCTTCCATTCCCACCATCCAGTCAGAGCTGAAGAATCTTCTTGGATGAGAAGCGAAACATCTTCAAAAGAAAAAAAAACAAGAAAGTCCAGTTGCCTCTTGAAAAAGCACCTTTGTGACAACCAGGACCTGGATGACTGAGAATCTCCCTAGACCGTTAATTTGAATTTTATGTTTATGTTATCATGGCTTTGTAAATCATCCAGAGTCACTTTGGATTGTTAAATGGAAAGCATATAAATTTAATTTATTTTTTTTATTATTTTATTTTGAATTTGTATACCGCCCTTCTCCCTGAGGACTCAGGGCGGTGAACAGCCAAGTAAAAACATCAAGTACAAATATTAAAATACAGTTAAAATATACATATATAAATTTGGCCCCATTAATTAAAAACAATAAACAAAACACTTAAAAACACTTAAAAAATTAGGCCAGCCCGGCTTGCTGGAAAAGGAAGGTTTTAAGGGCACGGCGGAAGGCACTGAGGTCTTGGATTCTCCTTATCTCTGGAGGCAATTGATTCCAGAGGGTAGGTGCCCCCACAGAGAAGGCCCTCCCCCTGGGGGTCACCAGCCTGCACTGTTTGGCTGATGG